TTAAATCAAATCCAATACCTCATGAAAGACTTCGCGTTTCTTTGGAGGAATAGTTGACTGCTCCAACCTTCTTATTTCATTTGTTGCATTTGCCAATCGTACGTTCACAGGAGCTACAACTTGAGCTCGTGTAGTTTTTGATTTTGCCGTATTTTCATTGCAGTCATCAACAAAAAATTTTGGCCGCTTCGTAACGATCTCCAGCGAGGTCATGGCTAATGAATGAAAACCAATGAAACCAAGAATAAACTAATAAACTAATGAAACCAGTTCACTCACGCTCAGAATGTCCACGAAAGAGTCAGCAATATTTTTGCCCATGTAAGCAAATGAGAACCCATTCTGGGGATTGGTTGTACTTGAAGCATCACCGCTGTCCAGAGGTAACTAGGGACAGTGACTCGATTGAAATCTCTGTGAGTCACGTCTCCTTCCAGGTCATGTTCTCTGTTTGGAATTCGTATTCTCTGCTGGACAATTCCCGTCACAAAATAAAAAATTTTTTCTGATTGTACTCAAAGCGACTTCTTCCATTTGCTTCCACGACTACTGGTTAAAGCAGGGATCTTGAGGAACGGCGTTTGTCAAGGTAAAAGTTGTGGCTGTTCTTCCTTCTCCACATTGATAGAAGTTTGGATTGAGGTGACCCCTGTCTTAACCTGTGTTACAGTAGTCTACGTTTATCGCCTGTACTGTCTTGTAGCGTTCATTTTGCTGGGAAGCTGTCTCCATATTTGTCTTAGATCTGGTGTCAGCGGCTACCAGGAGCTGTTAAGAGAAAAACAAAAAAAGTCTGGCTATAGCTAAAATCATAAATTTTTTTGAAATAAAATCTTGGTCAAGTTAATTTCACTGAATTGGTTGAACATTTGTTTATTTTCTGTTGGTGGAACCACCGAGCAAGAACAGGAATACTTTTTCACATTGGAACATGATCTTCTGTCGATCGGTAAACAAGTAATATAAGTGCGCTGTGGTCGTCTTTACCTTACAGAAGTAAAAATTTTTTACATTTTTCTAGATTTCAATACCGTTGGTTTTTCAAAATGAGTATTTAAGTTTCCAATCAACAACTTGTTTCGATTCATAATTTACGAGGTTGAATGAATTACCTACCTGAGGCTCGACAAACCATGTGGACCTTCTCTGTGGCTCGGGAGAACCCGAACAAGGATCAGGCAGGGTGTAAGCTGAATAAAGGGGAATCCCTAAGCTGGTGCTGTACAGTGTGGCATAGCGGTATGCATTCTTATACCGTTGGCAGATGCTTTTGGGCGGTTCAGCGAAACTCCGAGTAAGACTTGGCGGGGTTCTTTTGTAAAAGTATTGCATGTAGTTGCCGAAACCTTGATCGACTTCACATCTCGCACTGAATGCATTTAACAACAAAATCAAGAATACCTGGTTTAAGGCGGTTTTCATGACTCCTTAAATATCTATTGCAGCGTGGTGTTCTCTTCACCCAGTTTCCTTCGTGAGCTTCTGACGCAGGTCATAGCAAATTATCACTATTTAAATAAATTCGAAGCTATTCAGCCGTTAAGCAATATTGATTAGGTAATGATGTTTGCTGAGGGATTACCTCAAACATTATCATAGCAACCCTTGCGTGAAGACGGGGAAAGAAGAGATCTTTACTATTTCCAATGCCCTGAAGACTCCTTTTGCTCTTTGGCCTCTATTTGCATTATTCGCTAAGGCCATAGCAGCTTGAATGAATCGACATAGGAGACTCTAATCTTAGTTTTATTCGATACTTTCTTTTACATTGGGCAGTCGCCACAAGTAATTAATGTTTACACGAACTTTGCGTAAATCATGTCGAAAATTCAAGACATCGTGCGTGGGTGAAGCTCAAAAGGGTTAGGAATGTCTTTGTACCAGCTCATTTCTATTTGTGATGCCATTGTAAATAACAGGTATCTACTATGATATAGACTCTTTTTGATTAAAAAGACTGGCTATTGCTTTTTTTATTGCTTGTCGAGTTCGAGACACCCGTTTTTCCAAAATTACGGGTTTGAAGGGAGCGACTAATGAACTCATAACAAAGTTTGTTGCCTTTAAGAAGTCAACAGAAAGTGCTCTAATTAAAATACCATATCTTGACTTTCCAAAATTACTTTCCATTGATGCAATTTCACAGAACAATGTCAACTTCTAAACTTTAGTGTATATCCTTAATACATACATATCTACATAAAGACGTTTTATGTACGTTTTTTTATTTATTTTCTATTTAGAGTCAGTTGAAAGTTATCCGCAATTGCCTTAGCTTCGCTTTGCTTGGTTTTTTGATTGGTTCAGAAAATTCGCGCCACTTTCTTAAATCAATCACATTCAAAGTAAAACCAGTCGCGTTTTCCTGCGCTTTGCTCTGATCGACAATTGCATGTGATCACTTTTGTTTTGGTTTTTGACTCAGACGAAAAGTGCGATAATCATAGAAGGATGGAGACTTTTTAGCTTACCTTACACAGCGTACTCCTCAGCCTTTTATGGCCTTGTTAATTACAGTTGTTACACTAACTGATTGCTTACATTTTTCATAAACGGTGGGCGTTTTAGTCACGCTCAAAAGATTTGCGACGCAAAACAATGGTCGCACCTTCAAGCATGAGTTGTCATAAAAATGTTTCACATTCACTCAAGAAGGACAATTCTAAGTGATCATGGCTGAGGCGGCATTGAAATTTCAAGTTTTTCAACTCACCCCATCAGTAGGAAAGTTTGCTTGTGACTCATATTTGACCAACTGTTCAGTGTGAATACAAATTTAAGTCTTTCCATTCAATAGGCCATTTTCGATATATTAAAATTCAAACTTGGCTCCGAGGCTTGGGCGAATAACACAAAGGAAATCACATCGAGGTTGGGGATTAGTAATTAATTTCTTTTTGTCATTCTCCATAGCCTCAGAGCCATGTTTGTGGGATTGTACTTTATTTGACCAGGGCAATGTTTATTCGACTTCAACATCGCTCAACAGTAACAACATTGGCATCAACTGTAATTTTTACAACTGCCATTTGCCATAGTTTTGATATCCGAAAAACCCAGTCCTTCCGATCCATATATCCTTTCCAATACGTTACAGAAGCCGCGTTTTTCGGTGCTCTCACCCCGAGGAATCTTCATGTTGTCGTTTATTCATAAAACACGCGCCTTGGGCAGTTTGTTTCTAATTGTCATGCGAAGAAATTATTGATATGAGCCACAATTTAGCCGAATTTCACCAAATATTTCACCTTCAGACTCTTTATTAAGACTAAACTAGACCCTGTGAGCAGGGTAACTGGGATACCTGGATGGTACTGGATCCTTGGAATCAAGTGTAATGATACTACGGGTGTCGGACTAGTATACTGAAATAGTGAGCTCAAGTCTGGCCAAGGGCATACAACTATTTCAAAACATAGGCATGCTATGCATGCAAGAATTATTTTTTGTAGGGTGGGTGGATTACTTGAAACATTGTGGGTGATGTCTACATTCTTACAAAAGGAGAGAACAATATTAAAGTGAAAAAGAACGAAAACGTCGAATTACCTCATACACAGGTATTTTGTGGTAGATTATGTGTGTTGTGCAAATAAATGTAACCAAAAATAAACTGTATTGGTGCCACGGGCACCTGTTAGTACAAAATGCAGACAGCAGACTGCAGACCAGATGCAAAATATAGACTGCAGAGTGCAGAGTGGGTACAAAATGCAGACTAAGAATCTGAGGAGTTTTTACGTCTGGTATATAATAACATGTCATCTTACAGCTTACCGGGCGTCACGCAATCGCTTTTCCGCGATCAGCCTTCACGATTATTTGCACTATTGTGGAATATTCCTGGCCCATTTCTTGAAGAAAATCGATCGTAATATAATTTCAAGCCCTCAATATAGTCCTCTTACTTTGCGCTGGTGTGATGTCTGTACAGATTTCACCAACGTAATAAAAGTAGATGACGTGACTAATAGTGATGGCAAAGCAAGCTTAAAACGGCAGAAATCGCCAGAAACTATAACGGATACACAGGGTATGTGTAGGTTTTACTGATTTTACGAGAAAAATGTTCATATTTCGAAATATTTATCGTTGTAAATCGGCCATATTTCGTTCCCTATACTATTCCTTAGAAAGTGTTCAAATTTTCAACGGTTCCTCTCGTAACTTAACACCGAGTCACACAACGCGTGACGCGTTCATGAATTAATTGTTACCTTTTTCTCGAGACGTGAGCTTAGGCCGCCTGTGACAAGACAATTGCGTAAAAATTACTTAACATAATAACACTGTACACAAAAAACACAGGATTTTGGATCATGTATTTATTAAAAAAGAATATCCATAGAACTACAATGAAAACTAACATAAGATTCACCTTTCTGATCGTGAAATTAATACGATTCGCACTGTTATCGTAGCTACGTTCCCTGGCATCAAGTGAATCCAACATAGCGTCTTTCTTCACAAGCAGTTTGCATCCATTGGAGCTTTGATCTTCAGTCTCACGGTAGTAGCGTTTTTCAATAGATTGCATAGAGTATATGCAGTTTGGTTTCAAATTTCAGATTTTGCTTTTATACAACAAATGTACGTTTTTCAACAAAGAAATTGGCATACTTGGCATACAAGGCATACAAGGCATTCAAGGCTTTCATGGCTTTCAAGCGTTCGCGACTCAATCCGTTCCAAAATTACCGCTCCATAACATCTTTTAGTGTGGATTGGCCGCGAATAATACGACTTGTGTATGCTTCTGTAAGTATTTTGAGCGTTTGCGCCAAAGTGCTCCAGGTTATCGTAATCCAAACACATTGAAATACACAATGAGCGACAAAAGGGTTTTATAAGCAAAAATCTCGCGTTCGTCATGTGACCCGGCCCTGTCCGTGCATGACAACGTCAATCATCATCAAGATAACACGCGTGATCAGCATGTGAACACCTCATTGGATCACAGTTAGTTGTCATGGTGTTGAGGGCCCAATGACCACCGGGTACTATTGCGCAATTTTTCCATTTTGTGGTGGAGGAAAAAAAAAAGACGACAAAAAAACAAAGGCATTTTATGACTGGGCTACCACAGGTATCCCAGTAAAAACTTCAGGGAGAAGTGTTGAATTCAACCTGCCGAACTATTTCAGTTTATGGACTATTACATATTGTAAACTTTGATGGTTGGACATTTTGGAAAGCTTTTAATTAAGTGAATAATCTGATTGGTTGAATAAGACCAATGGTCCTATTCCAGCGATCAGATTATACTCTCGGTTGCACTCAAGAAGTAGGGAGAGACACTTGACTACGTCTCGTGTTTCCCTCCACACTTCTCTCGTGCTTTAGCCGCTCCCTATGTATTTCACTACAAAACAGGGCACATTCGAATATGTTGAATATGTTTGAACCATTAGCATTTATTTTCGCTGATGACCATCTGCTAAATAAAGGCAGATTTTGATGTCTCAAAAACATCCTCTCTCCGAGGATGGGAAGAATAATAAAGAACAGTCTTACAAGCACCTTCAAGTAATAAGACGGTTAGAATTCTAAAAAAGTTATCCTTTAACCTCTAAACTCCAGGAAATGATTCACGTGTAACTTCTCCCTATAATATCTAAACGTTATCCAGCAAACAGGTTATGAGAATATTCAAACTTTTATCAGATAGAAGTTGTTATCGTGATCCAACACCAAACCCTTGTGAAACATTTACAAGGAAATGTGTAGCAGCAAGAGGGGAGAATTTACAGTCAGATCTTGGAGTTGAAGGGTTAACCTTAAAAAGTCATGCAACCACATAAAACGGTTGTTTCTGTTTTTTTTGGGGGGGAGCGAGGGCTATCAAGAGCTGAATGTCACATAGTACTCGTCTATCATCGCCCTTTCTAGCTGAACAATGTAATACATATGCAATTACTGCTAAGTTATCGAAAGAAAATAATGTATTTAATGCGAAGTATTTGTATAGGTACCACATGATTTCAAATGCAGTTTGGAATAAATAACACGAGTATATTTTGTCAAAGACTAACAAGCCTGTACGGCGAGTGCGATTTGTGGTCTTTGAAACAATTAACAGGTGCTTATTTATTCCACACTGCATGAGAAAAATCATGTGATTACGTATTAATAATATACCGTGATAGCTTATCATAACTGTGCAGAAGAAAAGCGCGCGCATCAAGTGCAAAAATAATTTATTCAAACCTGTGCATTCGGTGAAAACAACCGCCAACGATCAAAACAGTAATATAAAACGGTATTTCCACATCTATAAGGCGCAAAAAAGTTCAAAGTCCGGCTAAACAGTTCAAGGAATTGTTCAGTCCGTGTCTGAATCACTTTCGATGGAATGGAATCGTCGTTTGCGAGGTTTAACCATGTCTGTTTTTAATTTCGGCGTAGAATCGCTAGAGCAAAGC